ATAATAATGTTCGATGTATCAAGAGGGGCCACGAGGGGGGAGGGGACGAGCAACTAACAGCAAGGGCTCAACAGAACACAAATGTCTAGAAAGTGTTGATGGCAACACACGTGCACGTGTGCTTGATGCAATCGATACAGGGATTGTTACAAGAGCTGTGAGAGCCCTCAATAAGATGGTTTTCAAAAAATTAAAAATTAAAAAAACTTTTAAAAAAAAACCAGGGGCAGTTCTACCTTGTCCCGCCGGGTCACTGTGAGCCGGCATTGTCTCGATGGCAGGCAGTTTTCCTTTTATTTGACCAGTCTCTCCCAAACCCAGGGCCCTCGTGCATTTTCAAAGCTAATCTTAAACAGCCCACCTTCAACGGCCCCCTTACTGAGCCCCACTGTGTGCGCTCTGTCTGCCTGTGTGTGAGGTCCTGCCCAGTGGGTGCTGCCTCCCAGCGACCATACCCGCAGCAGGACAGACTCCTGCCCAGCCGGCACCAGCCTCCCAGAGTGGTCCCGCTGAAGCCTGTTCTTACAGCCACCGCGTCCGTCCATCTCACGAAGGGGCGTCCTCTACTTCTACGTCCCTCTGCACTGCCAAGCCTGACGTCCATTTCCAGATACGGGGCTCTCCTGAGAACGTGTCTCAAGCACGTGCCGTGAAGTCTCACCATCCTCGCCCCTAGAGACCCCTCTGGCAGACGGATCTGTCTGTTCTCCTGGTGCTCCCATGTACGCTCAGGCTTCCTCCCCATCATTCAACGCAGCCTTCCTTCCGGCCATCCCATCATCGCTCGCCCTCCAGCCTTCCCTCTCCTCTGCACCAGGGACCCTGTGCTTGGAACGGGGCTGTAGCTGGCTGCCACCACATCGTCCCCGTCCCATTCCTCATGGCAAAGCCAGCCTCAAAGGAGCTCAGTGCTGCCGGCCCAGCAGCGTCCCCACAATCAGCGACAGGCAACACGGGGGTGACCCTGAGGGTTTGCCGGCTGCTCTTGGAGAGGCGACTGACTGCCAGGCCTTTCCTCCTAGCCTGTCTTAGTCCCAAAGCCCGGCTGAAGCCTGCTCAGCACGGCCGGCCGACACACGCAAGCTTCCGCTGACCGCCAGACGAGGGCTGTGCATGAGGTGCACTGCCGGGATGCTTGCAATAACAAGGGCCATTTACTGCCCGCTTACTGTGCACCGCACACACATCGCACCCTCGCCACAAGCCTGTGTGACCACAAGGCTGCGCCCCAGTTCACAGAGAAGAAATACTTCTTCTAGAGGCTGCGTAGCCCGAAGGCACTGACCAGGGAGGAGAAGACAGGTTTAAGCTCAAGTTCGTGCTCCAGGAGGCTGGGGCTGAAGCCCTAGTCCCCCCAGCTGTCTGCCCGCATCTCTCTGGGCACACACCGCCCTCTGTCCCGGGCTGTTCTGTTAGTCTTCCTTGAGCTCTTAAGATGCAACAGGCCCTGTTCTAAGCACGCGAATTCGCTCTTTTAATTCTCACCACAAACCTGTAAGATACTTAGATATTGTTATTATTCCCGTTTTACAGCTAAAGGAACCAGGGCAACCTTCTTAAGTCCCAGGTCGCTACCCGGGGCGGGGCTCTGGCTGCTGGTAACCACCTCACTGACGGCTTTTATTCTCATTTCTCCAACGCAGGGGGTGGGGGGTGGGGAGAGACAGCACTGAGAGCCTGCTACAGGAAAGGTCGGCAGTTCCAGACCACCAGATGCTGAGACCGCCTGCTCCCATGATGCTTTGCAGCCTGCGACACCCCAAGGAGCATTCGACTCGATGGCGGTGGATTTCACCAAAGACGAGGAGCCCTGGTGGCGCAGCGGTTGAGCACTGGCTCCCAAACAGAAAGGTCGATAGTTCAAACCCACTAGCTGCTCGAGGCCAAAAAGGCCCCCATCTGCTCCTGCCAAGACTTCCAAGGGCTGGTAAACCCTGGGAGGCAGTTCTGAACTACAACTGGGGGAATGGGAAGCAGTGGGTTGGGTGCGGTCTCAGCTGGACAGTCAACTCTTGGGCCGCAGGGGGTCTTCTTCCTCATCTCCAGCCTTCCCGTCAGCCCCCAACCAAGGCCTACCCCAAAGGGAGCCCTTGCAAACAACCGCTGAACAAAATCACCAGCACTCATGTGAAACCCCTGCGAGACACCTGTGCCTGTTGCCCTGCAGACACTCATGCCCATGACCCTGGTTTCCCTCCTCTCTCCCAAGCCAGATGCACACCGGACTTCCCACCCTACACACCTGGGCGCCCCTTGGACCCTGTGTCTCCCCACCACCCCTGCACACCCGTTTAAACCCTGGATGGCCTTTCAGACCCTTCTTGACACGCACAAGTGGCAGGAGGAAGGTCAGCCGCCACCTGGCAGCGGTTAACTCACACCCACCTCTGTCCTTAATACCTGTGGCCAGACGCCCAGAGGAAAAGCAGCACGGGCATTTCTGGGTCCATGGGTGGGCCCCCCCGCTCGGAGAAGACAGGGGCAGCTCCCAAAGGACCCGCAGAGCCATATGCCCACCACACATAACTGGGAGATCG